ACTTTTCGCTGACATCCTGATAGATAACTGAGTAATTGCGGCTTCCCTGCCGTTACCATCATCAGCGTTTGTGAGAGCAGGAGATTTTCCCCATGATTCTCAAGGATTTCCATACCCGGTGAAGTTTTTAGCATTCGCCCTTACAGATTTCGCTATCGTCCGAAGCTTTATGGAGTCATTTCTATGAATTTCTTTGTGGACCTGAAGTTTTTGCTGCCACCCTGCCAAATTGATGGAAGGCGCGAAATATTGCATACTGACTTCGAAACACGACATGTGACGGAAAATTTTTCGATCTCATTTTCACTCATAATCGTTGAGAACAAAGTTCTTTCGTCAATGATTTACGCATTGTCTTATGGCTCGAAATGATTGGCCATTTTTGTTTCGCATTTCTGTGAGTGGTTAATTTTGGTCCTCTAACTTTGTTACATCAGTAAGTGAAGCGAATCTTCCTCACCTCACTGTAACGGATTTTGCTGTGATTGGAAGTTTTTCCACTGTTACTCCTATTAACATTCAAATTTTACCATTGTATTCGTGTCCTCTTTATACGTAGTCTTATTAAAGTCGCCAGCGCATTATATTCATTTTTGCCTTCTTATGTCTTTAATAACTGAAAATTAATGAATAGAATGGGAGAAAAGAAGAAGTAAAATATTCGCAGTTTCTTTGCTCAAAGTAAATAACAGTCAATATAATTTCTTTTGTATGTCGAACCTTCCTAAGAAATTACTTACTAGGATTAAATTATTAAAATCACCAAGTTCTTCGTAGTTTGAATAATGTGTAGTTGTTGATTAGAATGTTTTCTATGTCTTATAGCGTTGGCTTGTTTTTTTTTGAATGATTCGTATCGTACTTTTGCAGCATGTCAGACCCTTATCTTCCGTTACTATTTGTGTTTGTCTTTTTTTTTCGTGTTTTTATAACTTCTGATCAAATAAGTACTCTATGAGAAGGACTGTACACAACAACAATAAAACATTCACTGAAAGATAAGACGACGAGTGACGACAAAGAAGCAAAAAAAACTCATAGTTATTCAATGATATTTATTTCATATGGAGTGCACAAATCGATATTGATTTCTGTATAATGTGACGTGATTGGAATAGTTCAAAATTAGGCAATGACTAGTAAGAAGACATTTCATTGCATCTCCATCCGATAATTCGATTGCTGATAGTTAAAAGAGCACGATTGTTCTAGAAAGATGTTGTTACATTTAATTTCATGTTGAAATAAATAAAACTTATATTATCAGGAACATAAGACAATTTTCCTTTCAGACAATACAAAAGTTGATAATTTTTACTTCAATTCATTTTTCAATTTAAATAGATACTTTTATATGATTTAACGTCTCATCTTATTTCTCAATAAACAAGAGGAAAAAGAATAACATTTAGCTCATTCATTTGAACTTGAACTTCAAAAATATTTACATGCAAAAAGAAATATTTCGAACAAAGATTGGTTTATTTTTTTATCTAAATCTTATGAGAAAAACCAATCTTTTAAGATAGTCTAATATAAATTTAAAAATCGAAATGGCAGGTGTGGGTATGGGTGGATGTGGGGTGTGAGTTTAAACAAAAACTTTAGACACTCACACTCCCACCCTCACACTCAAGAAAAAAAAGAAATTCTGAAATTTTCACATGCAGAGAAGAGAAATACTGAAATATTCACATTGAGTATATATCTGCTTATTCTAGGGAGAAAGAAGAGTAAAAAGAATCAAAAAGTGGGAATATGAGCCTTCAATTTACCAATACTCTTAGACTCAGATATGATTAACCATAATACTTCCGGTAAGAAGTATACGCAACGTTTTCGTAAAATATATCATCATGAAAAATTTGATTTTATTATTTTTTTGTGCTATTTATAAAGACAGATTATTCACCGGTACACTTCACTTCTCTTCTCTTCTTTTCTCAACATAATTTATTCATAATGTTGACCTTGACAAACTGTGTTTTTCTTTCTTTTTCCTTGTGCGACTAGTATATAAGCATGTGTTCGTATTAATATTAATACAACTGAAGTGATGTAGTGGTTCAAATAAATATCATTATCGACAGTAGCAATAGAGCTATTCCTCGGGTTCGTCACACTAAATAAATTGTCATTCGTTCAATAATATCAACATTAAGTGGTAAGTACTGAAAAGGAAAAATTTGTGAGAAGAATTTTCAACAATTAATATTCTTTATCATATCCTTGCAAGTTTAGATCAAAAAGGATTAAGTGTTCTTTATTTATCGAAAGTAAACGTAAGTGAATGATAAGAATCCAGAGTTTGTCTTTCTTACATTTATATTTATTCATATATTTACGGCGAATCATTGAAAGTAAAGTTCTGATTCAACTAACGAGGGAAGCTTCCCAACTGTTCAATCGCTTTTGAGTCGAAACCATGTGCATCACGTAGATCCTAATGAGCTATGAATATCCTGAAAAGAGTTCGAGCTGCTAGCTTATTACTGTCGAGATACTACATTTTTACGATATTGTTAAGCAGAATGCCGTGGTTCCTCTTAGAAGCGCCAGCAAAACTGAGTTTTGAATTTCGACTTCAAATTTGGCACAGAAACAGACCTCAATGAGAGTAGCTGATTGTGAAAGTTTCAGATCTTTTGCTTGTTCCTATTCTGAAATAAGAACATCGGAATCTGTCGGAGGTATATAAGCAGTGTAAAAACACCCTCTTTAGCTGCATCTTAGGATAGGAATGACCAAAAGGCCTGAAACTTCCACAATAAACTACTCTCACTGACGCCTGTTTCTGTGCAAAGTTTGAAATCAAAACTTAAAATTCAGTTTTTCTGGTTCCTGAGGGAGACCACGGCATTGTGCTTAATTAAAAATACCATAAAAATGCAGTATCTCAACAATAATAAGCTAGCAGCCCGAACTCTTTTCAGGGTATTCATAGCTTATTAGGATGCACATGGTTTCAACCCAAAAGCGACCGAACAGTTGGGGACTTTCCTCGTAAATGTTATTAATTCAATATTCAATATGAGACGTCAGTCGATAATATGACACAGTTACGTTTTCATCAGACTTAAAATGTTATTGAATCAAATACAATACTTCATTACATGTAAAGAATAAAAGGAAAATTTTCTCACAAAAATATATACAAATGTTGAATGTCAACAACAATGTATAAGCATATCGTTTAGAAGCCAGTCTCTATCCTCATGTGATATCGATCAAATAAAATCTATTTATTATTGTTTAAACAATTGTCTAAAAACTATCTGAATAATGGCTCTTTAAAATAAAATTCCTTTCAGCAGAATTATCTATTATCAGACAATCAATGACTTCAATATATTTTTTATAGAAGATTGATAAACTTTCTATGATTATAAAAAAAAAGAGCAGGTTAAAGTAGCAGATCATTTATATTTTGAATAATAAAAAGATGTGATGACTTCAAAATAGGATACTCTGGATTATTGCTTCAATACTTGATAAGGTAATAGAAGTTCAAAATAGGAGATTCTTGATTATTGATGCAGTACTTGATATAGATTCAACGGTAGATTACTTTCGGGGTATCTCGACATGCTTCCCAGACTGTTGTTAAGATCTTTGCTCCGCTTCTTGCTTTATTATCGCTTGTTGAATATGCATTGGTAGGCCAGGATTGAGACTCAAAGCATACGGCAATAAGGTTTTCTGTATTTCTTCAAAATCAACCATAATTTTGATGAACATTGTGTCGTCTCGGACATATGAATTTCCTTCCTATCTAATCATATCCAATGGAAAAAATTTAGGTATTCCACTGGGGTATATTCATATCAGATCGAGGTCGTTGAAAACTATTCGACCTTATGTCCGGTCGAAATGAATCGATAATATGTCGTTGTGCAGGTGTTTGATCGTATAAACAAACTGAGACTTTGTAGTTGAATCATCATCATTTAAATAAAGACGAGCTCTCATTTTATAGCCAGCAGGTAATGAATAGAATGGAGGTGAATAAATTGATGTTTGCCTTTCAGATTGTGCATCAACTAGAAATTAAGCTTAAACCATTGTCAGTGCAGTCTCTTTGAAGCAAAATATGGAAAACTCACATCTTTTTTTTCAGCTTCATTATACTAATGTCAAATAGGTCAAGTAAATCTTGAATATAATCGGAAATCTGCATAAAAATTAAAAAAACTGCACTATCTAGAATACTCAGACAAGTATTGACACTATTACAATTTCAAGTAAAATTTTGAAACATTCTCGAACAATCTAAGTCTTATTGTTAATGCCAATCAATATCTTTTTTTTTCTTACTAAGAAATTATAGGAAAGAAGTCTGCTGTCTTGGATTGCTTTGGAAACGTATCCACTAATCATAACTTCGGTTGCTAAAGTCTATTGCGAGCACCTTTGCCAGCATTGCTATGACTGTCAGAAGCGTTAAAAACATCGATCAATACTCTCATTGTCACCCATTGATTCGGGTTACTACTTTAGGATTCGAATGTTCGAGCGAAAAACCTTGCCTTACAACTTACACTCACTATTTTCCTTAGTAAAATATATGAGTTCCACAAAAAATCGGTGAAGAAGAGTAGCTGCAAGTATAAAGAAATTTAGCCGATCGATAGAATTGATAATTGCTTCCATCAATTCATCAATAGCTTACTCATTCATTGTATTCATGCGTTACAATATACTATGTGGAATGTAACGTTGAATCGTTTATGTGTTATTCAATAATATTATAGAAAACGAAGAACATCTTTTTCTTTGATTATCTTGTCGATAGCATATTTTGATTTCTATCTTCAAGCATAAGACTAATTGTTCGAGTTACTTATTTTCTCATGAAAGTTTTTTATTTTCCAAACCAATATTTTACCGTATGAAATATATTGCAAATCATTGATTTTTTCTTGCAAGGATACAAAGTCTTGATCAAGAATGTCTTGATTCTGTTTCACTCCTTGCAAAAATGCATTTGATTCTTCAACAGATTATTTTAATTTCGATGATTCTTCTTCCAATATTTTAAGTGTAATTTGCATTTGGAATGATTCATTACTTAGACGTTGTTTATTATTGACCAATGCTTCGATGCCACCTGCCAAGATATTCAACATTTCATGAACTTCTTCAAATTGAACTGTAGTAGGAATACAAGCTCCTGTAGTTGTTGTTCGAGGAAGATCAATATTCATTTGTCTATCATTGAATTGTGATGAAATTTGACGAACAAGTTTAAATATGGCCTGTTGATACTGTTTAATCAAATAATGATTCTCCTTGTTGGCACGAATAAACTTAAGAACACGAACTTTTCGATGTTAAATGCATCTAAAAAATACTCATACTTGTTCATTACTGTCAAGGCCTTTCAATATACATTCAACAATCAGTTTTGAACATTCGAAGAGTTTATATTCATTGAATTTATCAACTGAGTTGAAATGTTCACCACAATATTCACAGTTTAGATTTCAATGAAATTGATCGAGATGTTTCTTTGAAACAAGAAAAGATAGAAGATTTCATTTCATTTGTGAAACCTTGATCAAGTATCATCTATACAGAAGAAATATATTTTCTCTTTGATTATGAAAGGATATTTTTCTTCAATTTGTGATATCTCTGCTTGACATTGCCGATATTTAATTGTCGTTCTTGAAAAAGAACAATGAAGAATAATACTAATACTTCAAATGGATAATGAAACTTACTCTTGTTCAGCATTTAAACATGTTTGACATAGTCGATCACCACATTCAGTCAATTGTACAGGCTCTCGTAATATCAATGAACATACAGGACAAATATATTTTCTATCAAGCATATGTTTATTTCTTGCATTGATGTCTACCATTATTTTAATTATTTTTTGTTAGTCAATATACAAATAAAAAAATATTTTTGGAAACTATGAAAACTAATTAAAGTGGATTGGTATTCTAATAAGTGATCAAAGAATGATTATACTTCGATTTAAACGATTTTGTGATTAAAATATCAAAAAATTGAAAAAGTCATATTAAAATATGATAAGGATTTCAAATTTTCAAAGTAACAAAATAGCGAAGGCTTCGAAATAGATCCATTCACTCTTATTAGATCAAGTCTTGAATTCATTGTAAATATGTTGATGAAATTTTGATTGTAAATGATATTATCATTGATGAAGATCAATTCAACATGAAGAGGCACATCACGGACTTTCTTTAAATTCAGTTGAGTTATATTTAAAATATGATTGAATTATACACGCTCATTCAAACTATGACAATGATTTATATTTTGACTTACTTCATAATAACATTACTTATATTGAGATTTTTTCCATATCTATTTAGAACAGGATGACTGTGGGCGTGCGTGTGCGTATTGGTATGAATCAATGAAGAAAAGACTTACACCCACACTCTTGATGAATATAAAGCTTTAAATCATTTAGTTTTTCATGAAATACTGATTAGCATATGGTCGGATCCTCTATTGGAAATAGGTAGTGAAACACGAAACTTATACTCGTAACAATCAATTTTAAATATTTGTAGTTCGTTTTTATACACGCAATAGACGCACAAAAATTTTTCTCTAAATAATCAATTTTTTGTTTGAGATGATGACGGCAGAAGAACGACAAAAACATGGAAGTTACCCGACTGTTAACTGTTGGAAAATTTCCCGAATCAATCATAGGATGAAAATCTGCGTGTTTTATAAGCATCCACCTATTTTTGGAATAATCATTTTGGTAAAAAAACAACAAGGAAATAAAAAATTTAACAAAAATATTTTTATTACACATAGAGATTCTTACGTATGAGTTCAAAATAGGTTTTTTTTACTAGGTATGTGTGTGGAAATGCAGATGACTGTCAGAAAAGGCAAAACCAATACTAAAACCCAAAATTAAACTTAGACAGAATTCGTTTTTAATTAGGCATAAACATACAGAATAATTTTATTTTTCATTTAAAAATTCTCATTTTTGTTTACATTAAGAAAACATACCATGTAGGGTGTGGGTGTGGGTGGGTGTGGGTGTGGGTGGGTGTGGGTGTGGGTGGGTGTGGGTGTGGGTGTGGGTGGCTGGGTGTGAGGGTGTGGGTGTAGATTGAGAGACGATCCACACCCACACCCACATTAGAGATATTCCATGGGAACTCAATCACAAAATACCCAAGTACTTTCAAATCGATGAAACTTTCAGGATTTGTAAGTCATAGTGAGCTATTAAGATCTTCAACATCAATTTTTTAAATTTCATTAATAAATAGAAACATGTCGAGTAGAACATTTTTTATGTATAATCACGCAAATTAGATTTGAAGGTGAGGATTCAGGTGAGAATGATAGTTTTTTTAGATGAAACTGAGTGTTAATAATGAATACCTATTCAGGAATACTTGTTTATTGAGTATTCGAGATTAAATAAACATCGAAAAAATTCCAAACAACATCCAAAAAGATTAGGAATTATATTGATAATGAGTCAACTTCATACGCTTGTGACCAATTTTCATTTCTGCTGGCTTATCGGTATTCTTCTCAAATGTTATCTGAAGTGATTGATGATTGTCACTTATGGTAAACTATCGTTCTTTTTCAATGAGCTGTTGAGTCATTTCCATGAAGAAATTTGATGACCTTGGATGTTGTACAAATGTGACACTGGTCAAATGATTGACACGTTCGAGGACTAATTTCGTACTGTCAATACTCTTCGTTTTTAGTTCTCAATGGTCTATTTGAAAGGATACTATAGAACATATTCTGTCCATCAATGGCGCCAAATCATCATCATAGAATAGACCGAGAGTGCGAACATTGCATGCTTGTTTGAGCAAAATATTGATCGTGCGAATGCAAAAAGGACGATTTTTTGAGACGAACAATCAGATTTCATCAAGTTGTGAAAGATCTATAAGTAACGGAAGGCAGTCGAATGCATGAGACCACCATTTACCACCAATGTCTACTGCCAGTTGAGAGATATGACGAATCTGGTGAATTGGTGGTAGAAACTAAAATAACAGATAGAAATGCAGTGCTTTCATGTTTTGATTCAGTTCAGTCTGATTCTTACCAAAACTATGTTCTCTGAAGATTCGGATAGACTAAGACTATTTCTGCCTTTTCACCCTTTGATGTTTGCGAATCATTTTTACTTAATAGTTATGAGAAGTTGTCAAAATCATGCATCATTCTTTCCACTTAAGACGTAGATTCCTATCCAATGATCAGAGAGAGAGAGAGAGAACTTTCTACGGAAAGAAATCGATATATAATTTAAAAAACAGACAAAATGAAGTGTCGTTGAAACGATTACAAATACCTTCTTTGAACAAACCACTGTTACCATTCGAGCCAAATCGGAACGAACATACCATTTACTGCTCATATTTGCTGCATTATCATCTTTTCTAGTAAAAGTAAAGTATGATAAAATACTTTCTCGAGTATTGAAAGGAAATTCGGTCCATGTTCCTTCGGATGAATAGAGAATAAGACCAGAATTTGATACATTATCGGCAATTAATTGACAGGTGATAAACCAACGTTTATCATCTAACCAGAATGGTGTACGAAAAGCAGTGAGAATCGATTCAATAGATTCAAATTGATACTCACAAATATTAATGACAAACTTAAATTTTTCAAGTAAACGAAGTTTTTGACAAAGAAATATTTCCCATTGAGAAAAACGTTGGAGGAAATTGAATGACACTTGTCGATTAGTCTTTACATCGAGATGAACAAGTGAGGGTGTCAGCAAATGAAGCAATCCAAGTTGATCAATTGACATACTCGCATTTCTCAATGTCAACGAAGTCAATCGAAGATTTGGTTTTGAAAAGATCGTTTTGAATAGTTTCATTGATATAACAATCACTCAATGAAAATGTTTGAAGATTCAATAAATGATAAAGAATAGAACAAAATTGTTGATAAAAACACTGTCTAATAAATAATCGATGGGGTTGAAATAAATTTGACCAATTTATTTTATTCATTGTAGATATATCAACACACAAAATGAGCTGATGAAATTTTGACGGTCCGATAATCGAAGAAAGACAAGCAGTTGTCTCATCTTGTAATGGATTATTGTTCTTCATAATCAGTGATAGTGAAGTGAGAGTAAAGATGGAAGGAATAGAAGACAAGCCGTTGTTCAGATTTCATTCGTTGTTGCAATAAATTCTCAACGAACGAAGTCGAGTGAAGTAATCGATATGGATCGATGAAAGAGACAATAGAAAAGGAGTTGACATATCACAAGTGATTCGAATGACCAATGAAATGAAATTTTCGAATGGAACTATTCGACAGATAAGATTAATATCGGTTTTCTGTGATTCACTTGTTATTTTCATTGTATATCGATTATAGGTATTGGTCATCGCATAAAATCATCTGCAAACATAACGAAATGAAACAACAATATCTTCTGCATCAAGTTGGCCCAAAATGCCATAGAGAACCTCCACTGAAAGTGTAAGAAGAGATGATATCGATTGAATTGACATCGTCCAATGGTAAATGATGAAATTTGTATTTTAACTTTGCTTTTATTCTTCTT